TTTACTTATATAGGATATAAAAAGTCACTAAAAACATACACTGCACCCCGAGCTAACGAATACACGCTAGAATATTACGATCACAACATCATCCGAACTAACCAAGACCAATTTTTAGATGATGACCGTTTCGCTAACCCACAAATCACAGAAAAATTTTTCATCAAAACACCATATGTATTTACACTCAATATATTTGATCGCAAATTCGATCACATCATTTCTGAAGCACTAACCGACACACAAGCTTACGAAAGTTTTAAAGAAAAATTTCAATTATTTTCACTAACCTTTCATTTCCTTGCACCACATGAAAGAGATTTGCACTGCTCACACGACATTATGTTACGCACTAAACAAACCCACACATATACATATTATCGCTTCATACAAAATCACTTTGATCTACACACTCCATCAAGACAACCACACCACCGTTTTCAATTTATTAACTCTAAGTACACTTCACCATTTTTTCTTAACTTCACATATTGCATCAAAGATACTAACCTTCACGGTATTCTTCGCAATTATGATCTCATAACCCAAATGTATGTTTTTTGTCCAATCACAAAGACCTTCAACGCAGAAGAATCCAGACCCTTCCTTATCCCACATGAATTTGTTCAACCTATAGAAATCCCCATATTAGAATTCATCCACAACACTAAATATAACCACAAATTATATAATCTCATCCAAAACACACCTTATGATTTTTCAGTTGGCACTGAAGAACTAAAAACCATTAAAGCACTTCAATTGCTTTGGCCACTGCTTCAAACTAAAAACATCATTCGCATACTAGCAAAGTTACTAACAAATTCCGACATAATCCACGACATCTTCCCCCACGGTTTTTTCCCGACGACTAACAGGTAAGTATAAATTCTCATATTCTTAACTAATAAATTTAAAATAAAACACTAACCATTCTTTATCAATGTTTTATTTAGATTTTTAGTCTTCATCTCACGATCATCTGCAAAATACACAAAAGAAAAATAAAAAATAGAAAATTTCTTCAAATTGTTCAAAACTGTAATAATCTTTTGCACCAGCTAAATTAAATAAAGTTCATACCAATGTAGTAATTTAATTTATAAATTATTTCCCTAAAAGCAGTAATTCTAATAATGATGAAAATTTGTAACTTAATTTTTCCCCAAAACTAGCAGTAAAATTGAAATTCTATGTAGTAAATTGATAAGACGAAAATGCAGTACTAACCTTTTGATATTTCCATTCACTCGCACAAAAATTCTATCCAAACTCGCACAGCTCGCCCACGAAGAATTGTTTAAATAATGAATTTCAGTTTCAAGCTTTCACACTCAACAACACACGATAACAAGTTTCAAACTTTCCTTTAACCCGGTTGGAAAGGAATTATATACTAAACAAAACTAACCAACGCAGTTTACTAAACACCACAACACATAGAATAACAGCATGACTAAGAAAAGGAAACCAACGGTACCCAAACCGGATTAACCCAGTTTAAAACTGGATAATTTATTCTTTTGAAGACTATTATAAAGTCTAAGAAAGAAATAATAAAACACAAAAAAGTCGAAAGACAAACCCATACCAAAAACAATTTGTTTTTTGAAAAAAGGACACAACCAACGAAACATAAGAAAAACCACAATAAACCCAACATAAAACGTTATCACACAACAGGACCCCTCACAGAAACCGCACGAAATCATACTCCCACTCCTGGCCTAACCCACCAGAGAGGACGTCCTGAGCATGCTCTATAGCCGGCCTAACCCACCGCGCTACATCCACGCTTTGTGACCACACTTCTATTTTTAATAAGAGGTACTCAAGGGTGAGTAACTCTTCAAAATAACTGAACTAAAACAGAAAGCTTTTGTGAAAACAACTAACCAAAATCATAACTAAAACACTAAACTAATAAAAATTTTATAAAATGTAAATTATACCTTGCAGTATATAGATCAGCATACAACACCAAAGACGAACATCCAAAGACAAAATGACTCCACTACACTCGAAAAAGAATGGCCAACCACAATCAATATGCCGCCCACAATCACAACTCAAAGGATTTAGAGTACGACTTGACTTCGCAGAAAAGGACTTCATTGAACTAGACCAATGACCACCTCGATGTTCAAGTATACGTACAGATCCGAGTAATCAGGCATCCCCTCCACGCACAATCTCCACGCCATTCCCAGACAAGGTCAACCCAAAAGAAGTTCTCTACATGGAACAGAAAAACCTGACATAGCCAACCATTCTGAAATCAGATTTGAGTTTGTTGCGAAAACCCAGTCGTTGTCATGAGAAGACACAGCGATTGAACCTGGAACTTCTCTGACAAGAGAACCCAGAAGAATTATGATGTTCGCCAAAAACCAACGTCCATCATCCATCTTTTGAATTGCAGAAAGACTATTCTAAAAAACTCTGTAAAACCCGGATGGGTGGAACCTGATCTAAACTACATTTTATGATTGGATAAATTAGATATTTTACCACTGTAAAGTATTTAATATTAACCAATCATGATCCATCTAACTAACAACCCACTTATTTGTAAGTGCTGGAATTACTTGTAATTTCAGCACCAGAGAGATTTGAACTTAACTTAGAAATTAGTTGACTCTCCAAGAGAACTTCAGCAGCCGCAATAAACCAGTATACCCTAGATCTATTGAGCCTAGCAGAGACTAGTTAAACAACCTGAGACTAGATAGTATAAGAGTAAGATTAGGATCGGTATTAGACTAAGAAGTTGCACGAATCTATCCGGCCGAAAATAAGATAGCGTGACGAGCAGACGGTGTACCTTATCCGAAATTACTCTATGAGTTAATCACCTCGGTTATAACTCAAATTACTTTCGTATATGGCTCTAAACCAAAATCTGCCTCAAAATGCGAATTTGCGTGAACCATGTTGCGTTTCTGCGCGACACAATTTGCGACTTTGCACAATATTTTTTCAAATCGGCTCGGTCATTTTTCAATTGTGCGACTCATATTGCAATTTTCGTGATCCATGTCGCTCGCGGAAAATTTGCGATAGTTTTCTCTTGGTCTCCACTTTGGTCGCGACCGATTTTCTGGACGTGCCATTTCAGCCTCGGTCTGAAAAGTCGCGCCATATCCCCCTTGGTTGCGAAAGTCGCGCCGTATCACATCGGTCTTAAGGAATTGTTTCTGGATCGCGCCGTCTCCGCCTTGGTCTGGAAAGTCATCCACTCTTCGTGGTGGTCGCAAAAGTAAAAATTGCAGACCCAAATTGTACAGTCGCGCCGTGAATTTGAGTTTGAAAGTCTAGAAAAAAAATCTGGGTAGTCTAGACATGAGTCGCGCCGCGAGTAGCGACAGTCCGGGCATACCAAAATTTGGTCGCAAAAATCTGGACATGAAGTCGCGAAAGTCTGGAAAATTTGTGCCCATAACTTCGCGGCCCATGGCCAGACTTTCGCGACCAAACTTTGGTATGCTCAGACTATCGCGATACCCACGGCGTGACTCAAGTTGTCGACGAGACTATGCAATTGGGGTCTTGATCCGTATGCGGCTTGACCCGTAAAGACTGGACATGCCCGCATCCAAGCTTAGGCGTAAGTATTCGATTATAAGGGATCAATATGATAATTTTTTGACAATTATAGTTGATCATAATCACCAAAATTAGGTGTTTAAAGGATTTATGACTGATTATAATCGTGATATTTTCCAAGAGATTATAATCTCTTATAATCGACTATAATTGATTATAGTTCTTACATAAAACCCTTAAAATTTATTATAATCGATTATAGTCTCTTATTTTGCCGAAACTTTGTCAATTCAAAACTATATTTGAATTATATTTTATGGTTTATAATTTTTTTTTTCAATAAGAGAATCTCTAAAAAAGAGATCTCTTGAGCATTTTGGTTCATCTGAACCCAAATTTTACCACGAAACAAAATTTTCATAGAGAACCTTTCATATGAGTGAAAAGGTTCACGCGGTAAATGAAAAATAAATCTTCCGAATCAAACATGAAACTAAATTATTTCGCTGATGTTTTGATGTTTAAAAAAGCGTAAAATATGCATCACAAAACAACTCTAAACGTGAAGAAATGAAAAAAAATTATAAAATTGAATTAAATGGAAAACTTTTTTAAAAAATTTTCATGATTTTCATAGAAACCAAGGTCTACGAAAAGCATAAAATATAAGCAAGTTAGATGCAACTTCGGAGACAAAATGGACAAACAAAAGGGATTATAATCAATTATAATCGATTATAATGGATTTTTGTGCAAAACTAAAGAACTTGAAATTTGAATAACAATAATGGATTAAAATCAAACATAATCCATTATATTGTAATTAATTCTAATTTGATCTTAAAAAGATAGCTTATAATCGAATATTAATTGATTAAAATCGATTGTTTCTCAATTTTAGTAAGACTGGTACTAAAATCGTAATATAATCATTTATTAACGCTTAAAACTGGATGCGGGTGAGTCTGTGAGCTCGACTTGGGATAAAACTCCAGTGCAGTCTATTTAAACATTGAATTGCAAGTGTTCTTCTCTTCCCTTTTTTCATCTGTTTTTTTTTCCAATTCAGCTGAGACCATTTTTTACCTAAAGAAACGTTTTTTTCTAACACATTGCCTGAGCAAAAAAAAAACCTTTGGAAAAATTATGGCGTTAATAAAGCTTATCAGCGGAAGACGTTTGATATTTTGGGCCAATTTAAAAAGATAAAAACTGGACGAAAAGCTGTCGATGGATAGAAACTCCGATAATAAAAATGCATTACGATAATTATTTCAAAGGATATGTTTTATGGTGCATAATAATCAGCTTTTATTGGAGCGACGCAAGTTTAGCCCATTTTCTATTTGCGGTTCCATTTTCCCGATTTGACTTCTAAATCTAGCAGAAATTTTTCCAATTTCCTTTTTTAGAGCTTCACTGCGAAGACGAGGTTGCATTAAGCTAGCGTGTGGTGGTGCTTCCTGCTTGAATCTATTCTGTGCCTCTACTCTGCAGCCGTATTCCATTCCCCCCACTCCATTTAACAAGATAACAGGAACAGGCAGCAGTTAATGCAGTGCTGCAATCAGCGCAAAACACGGTAGTATCTATCTAATAAACTGAAGCGGCAGAAGCGCCGAAAAATATTGCAGCGTATAGCTGGGCTACAAAGTGTTTTAACTGCAGTCTGTGCACAATTTTAGATGCACACAGCCGAGTATGTCTAACCATCATTCTCATGCCAAACTGCAGTGTTCCACTCTATTTTAAACAGCGCCAAGGACTTTTTAAGCCTGCATCCACGGCCCTTTCTACTCAATTTCACTGTTCACTTTGAATACTGGGTTTATTTTTTAAAATGGGAGCCACCGGGCACGCTCGAGTATTACCATCATCATGGAGTCGGAATATTTAGCTGGTAAGTGTGTTTGAGTAAATATGCGAAACCTATATTTTTTTGGTCCTTTTCAGTTATAATCTCCCTAAATGATGAAAAAAGAAATGTAAATGGTCTATAACAAACTGGAAAACAATTACCAGAAAATGCGATATACTAATATAGGGCTGATAAATACGAAGCATTTTAACTTAATTTAGCTTCAAAAAAAAATTCATTTTTTTCCTCCAGTTCTAGCCGTTTTCTGCTCAAAGGTTTCATAAAAAAGATGCCAAATGCTTTTTTAATTGTTGTTAATGCGCAATTTATGCAGTATTTTAACTTGATTTACCGCTCGAGATATCAGCCCTGAGTTTGTCAGTATAAACAAGCCAGTTCTGTGAACCAGCGCTTTATAAATCAGTTTCGATAGGGGAATCTTTTCTAATTGTATTATTCGTAATTACTTAACTTCCATTGTCTAGCGAGATTTCCCGGTGTCATACCGCAATGTATGATAACTGTTAATATCGAATCCGAACAGATTGGTAAAGGACAAGTAACGTTGAGTTGCGAACTCAAGGAAAACAACAATTTCTGAAAGTTTCTACTTCAAGTTCTAAACAACTTATCTTGAAGTTGTGCTTTCGTAATATCGTACAAGGTCAAAGGACCTGCTCAACGTAGAGAGCTATACATCAGTACAATTAAAAATCTAACTTTACAAATCCGGTCGGATGCCATTCCCCCAGGAGAAAATCACAAAACACATGTTTTGAGTTTTAGGTCCCTGTAGGGCCGGATTTCTTGTGTCTCAGTATGACAAAGTTGAGTTTTGGGTCTTCACCGGACTGTATATAATTGTTGAAATTTTTTGAACGACTTCTTCGCTAAATTAAACAAAAAATCCGAAAAGAGAAACGCTCATTTTTTGTTTCAATAACCGATTATTTTCTATCTTTGATAAACCTCACAGTTGAAAAGAGTTGAATACCCAAAGATTTGTAGACGTTTACCAAAAAAAAACCAACAAAAATCTTCGAAAAACACCGCTGCTTGAATGTTTTGCAAAAAATATTTATAATTTTCATGATTGTTTTGTCGTAGAATTAAAAAGATCTCAATTACATTCCAAAGAAAAGTACATGCATTTTCAAGAAGCGAAATAGTTCTTTTCTGAAGCAACATAAAAATTTCAAATTTTGATTTCGATTAAATTCTAGAGTTAGACAAACGACGATTAGAAGGACTGTTGTTATAGACTGGGTTTTATTCTAAATTTGAATTGAGGAGTGAAAAGAGGTAGTGCTCCCTGAACAGCGAATGGAAAAAATGAATTTAAGTGACATGACAAACTGAGCATTGCAAAATCACAATTTAAAAAGTTTTTGACTAGATATTTTGTGTGAAATCACTAGTTGACCCTGTCTCAGTTTCATCAGTTTTGGCTAAATGACCTCCATCAGATTATTTTTTATCCGGATATTTGTAGGACCGGATTTCTTGTGTCTCAGTATGACAAAGTTGAGTTTTGGGTCTTCACCGGACTGTATATAATTGTTGAAATTTTTTGAACGACTTCTTCGCTAAATTAAACAAAAAATCCGAAAAGAGAAACGCTCATTTTTTGTTTCAATAACCGATTATTTTCTATCTTTGATAAACCTCACAGTTGAAAAGAGTTGAATACCCAAAGATTTGTAGACGTTTACCAAAAAAAAACCAACAAAAATCTTCGAAAAACACCGTTGCTTGAATGTTTTGCAAAAAATATTTATAATTTTCATGATTGTTTTGTCGTAGAATTAAAAAGATCTCAATTACATTCCAAAGAAAAGTACATGCATTTTCAAGAAGCGAAATAGTTCTTTTCTGAAGCAACATAAAAATTTCAAATTTTGATTTCGATTAAATTCTAGAGTTAGACAAACGACGATTAGAAGGACTGTTGTTATAGACTGGGTTTTATTCTAAATTTGAATTGAGGAGTGAAAAGAGGTAGTGCTCCCTGAACAGCGAATGGAAAAAATGAATTTAAGTGACATGACAAACTGAGCATTGCAAAATCACAATTTAAAAAGTTTTTGACTAGATATTTTGTGTGAAATCACTAGTTGACCCTGTCTCAGTTTCATCAGTTTTGGCTAAATGACCTCCATCAGATTATTTTTTATCCGGATATTTGTAGGACCGGATTTCTTGTGTCTCAGTATGACAAAGTTGAGTTTTGGGTCTTCACCGGACTGTATATAATTGTTGAAATTTTTTGAACGACTTCTTCGCTAAATTAAACAAAAAATCCGAAAAGAGAAACGCTCATTTTTTGTTTCAATAACCGATTATTTTCTATCTTTGATAAACCTCACAGTTGAAAAGAGTTGAATACCCAAAGATTTGTAGACGTTTACCAAAAAAAAACCAACAAAAATCTTCGAAAAACACCGTTGCTTGAATGTTTTGCAAAAAATATTTATAATTTTCATGATTGTTTTGTCGTAGAATTAAAAAGATCTCAATTACATTCCAAAGAAAAGTACATGCATTTTCAAGAAGCGAAATAGTTCTTTTCTGAAGCAACATAAAAATTTCAAATTTTGATTTCGATTAAATTCTAGAGTTAGACAAACGACGATTAGAAGGACTGTTGTTATAGACTGGGTTTTATTCTAAATTTGAATTGAGGAGTGAAAAGAGGTAGTGCTCCCTGAACAGCGAATGGAAAAAATGAATTTAAGTGACATGACAAACTGAGCATTGCAAAATCACAATTTAAAAAGTTTTTGACTAGATATTTTGTGTGAAATCACTAGTTGACCCTGTCTCAGTTTCATCAGTTTTGGCTAAATGACCTCCATCAGATTATTTTTTACTCGAGCTGTCTGACCACAACAACCCCCTCAGACTGAGTTGGCTTTGTCGAATGTCAAGCTGTAACTCATCGATGTTCGACATTGTTGATCCAACTTAGCCTTGCTCTGGGCTTTTGTCAGCAAATCGGTTTTCATGATCTGGCTAGGGCAAAACTGCATTTCCACTGTCTCACCTTCCCCTTGCTCTCGATCAAAAGGTTAGATCACATCGATTTGTCCCTTTAGCTTCTGCATCACGAACTCTTGAACAACTTGATACACCACTGGTTGTCCTCCTTGATAACTATTGGTCCGTAACTCACGTCGCAAATTTCATCGAGAAGTGATCTCAGCTAAAGCGCTTCTTGATCTGCTGCTGCCATTGCTTGGCAGTCAACCTATCTGCTAATTATGGCGGCAGTTACTTATTTATTTCTTTGTGCTCCATCTGGTTGCTGTCTCTGTTTTCTGCAAATGAAAACTTAAGCCAGTAGTTTACCTCCTAACATCCATATCTTCAGACCGTCTGCAGATCCACACTGTTTAAGCATCTGCAGATCCACACGGATGAAGCCATCAGTTTTTTTGTTGTAGCACAGCTCCAGATCTTTGCTCAAATTCAGGTAACAGATAACTCTCTTCGCAGCCACTCAGTGCGCTCTGCGTTGATTCTTCAGAAAAATTTGCCTCACAGTAGCTAGGATATCAAGGATATCTTTTTTGTTTAGCTATATACAATAAAGAGCGCAAAATGTCTCTGAAACCCCAAGTTTTTATCTCGGCGGTGTCCATGAAAACAGAACTTCATAGCAGCCCTTCTTTGAGAGTTGTGTCCGCCGTTGGGCAAGTAGCTGTTGATGTAGCGTTATTGACTTACTGTTACTGGTGCAGGCCAAAAAGAACATGATAATGATATTTTGTCATCCATCTTGAATTGCTGTAAGAAACGGACGCTCATCATATCAATTACATCATGACGTCTGCACAGGATGTTAGCTACGCAAACCAGCCCATAATTCAGAGCATCATTTGTTAACCTCACCGTGAACATATAGAAGTAGTTGCTGCTTGTAGTAGAATTTTCTTCGACCAGGAAAGTGCTTAATGTCTGGAAGAGTCTCTACCGCCGAAGTCCATGCAGAATTCGTGGTAGCAAGCACACTTGGTTACCACCGCATTGAACTCCTCTGGCTGTCCCACTTCAACCGCCACTGTTAGTGGATTTTTGGGTAAGGCTGAATCGAAAGCTATTTGATAATGTACAAGATCATGTTGTCCTCCCAATGCCGGTAGTATTCTCAATGTTTAGGGCTTACAGGTCTCATTGTCTCATTGAAGTCTTCCACTTGCATGACTTTTTTCATTACATAACGTGCTTTAAACCATCACCTTTTTCTCATCGTATCTCTCTTCACATCAGGAACCCATCGTACGAGAATAACTTTGAAATATCAATGTCCGACAACAATTGTTGATGTTCCAACGGCTTCTGGAGGCTTCATCTCCAAAGCCATGGTTGCGAGCCACAGCTTTTTTGGGTCCAGACTCCGCTTTTTGAAAGCATCCTGGCTATTGGATTTTTTTTCACTGACGTATGCGTATAGTCCGTATCGAATGGGTGGTTTCCCCGTCCTAAATGATCTCTGCACTGGATGCTCAGCAGAAAGAGAACATTTTGCTTGTCCCTTGACCTGGTCCTTTTCAGTAGCTCCAAGTGAATCTGCAGTGTCAACTGCGTTTGGTGTCACTGGTGTTTCGCTGCTCGTCGTTTTCTCAAAATCAATGCATCGCTCCAATGATAGCTGATTGATGTCAATGGCTAATTGTCAACCATGGTCTCGTCTGCAAGGATGTCATCATTAAACGTCACGCTTCTTGCTCGCACCGCTTGTTTAGTATCCATCATCTTGCCTTTTAGATTCAGTCTCGGTCTGTTGCTTTGATCAAGATAGTAATCCTGGGAAACGGTAAAACAAAAATAGCTCACTTTTGATATTTTTCTATGGTGCAACTTCATCAGTGAAAGGATCTTATCTAGGATGGATGTGTGACACAAGTTGCGAACCTTTGCAGCTGAAGTTATCGCTTGAGTCCAGAACATCTTCGTCAGTTTTACTTTGACCAGCAGACATCAACTCATCTAAAATAGCGCTCTTCTACACAATCTTTCTAGCAGTTTTGAGCATACTGAAG